TGGACACTTGATGCCAGTTCTATGGCATATTTTGGGTCCCAAGAATCATCTTCCTCCTGCTACAATGCAAAAGGGCCTGATTTTCCAAGCCAGCCTATTGCTGCCTGGGAAGAAGGACCCTTGGTGGCCCTTCCCCTCCTGCCCAGGGGTTCCTTCTGCTCAACTTTAATGTCCAAGAAGAGTTAGTCGTTCCATCTGTTTTTTCCTTTTTTGAGACAGAGTCTTTTTCTGTTGCCCAGGCTGGAGTGCAGTGGGGCGATCATGCCTCCGTGCAGCCTTGAATTCCCAGGCTCAAGTGACCCTCTCACTTCAGCCTCCTGAGTAGCTAGGACCACAGGCACGTGCCACCACACCTAGCTAACTGGCTGTATCTTTGTCACTTCTTTTGTGGGTTTTTTGTTTGTTTGTTTTTTGAGACAGGGTCTTGCTCTGTCACCCAGAATAGAGTGCAGTGATATGATCTTGGCTTTCTACAGCCTCAACCTCCCGGGCTCAAGCGATCCTCCTGCATCAGCCCGGAGTAGCTGGGACTATCTGCACATGCCATCATGCCCAGCTAATTTTTCTTTTTTTTTTTTTTTTGTAGAGACGGGGTTTTACCATGTTGCCCAGGCTGTTCTCGAACTCCTGGGCTCAAGCGATCCACACATCTCGACCTCTCAAAGTGTGGGATTACAGGCATGAGCCACTGCGCCTGGCCCATCTTTGTCACTTCTATCCCTCTTCCCAAGATTATGTATGCTCTCTGCTCTATAATACACAACACTGGTTTGGGGAAGGGGCCAGATTCAACTCCTTCCCTCAAAGCAGTCCTCAGAGATGGGAGCTGGCACCAAGCATTCTCAGTGACTGAGACTTCACACCCAGTTTTAAGAATGAATCTCTCACCCGGGCCCTGGTGGGACTCCCAGCACTGCTCTAACCCTGAAGTGCCCAGTGGCAGGAGACTCAGATTTAGCCCCAGCTTCACCACTTATGAATTACTTTGCTTTGAGTCTCTGTTTCTTTCTGTAAAACAACGGGATTAGACCTGGAAATCCCTAAGTACCCCTCTACATTTTGATGCATTTTATTTTATTTATTATTTAATTTTATTTTTGAGACCGGGTCACTATTCATCAATAAATGACCACTTAACTGATGGATTCCATCAAATAGAACATGTGTTTTTTTGGTGTTGTTTTTTTTGAGACGGAGTCTCGCTCTGTCGCCCAGGCTGGAGTGCAGTGGCCGGATCTCAGCTCACTGCAAGCTCTGCTTCCTGGGTTTACGCCATTCTCCTGCCTCAGCCTCCCGAGTAGTTGGGACTACAGGCGCCCGCCACCTCGCCCGGCTAGTTTTTTGTATTTTTTAGTAGAGACGGGGTTTCACCGTGTTAGCCAGGATGGTCTCGATCTCCTGACCTCGTGATCCGCCCATCTCGGCCTCCCAAAGTGCTGGGATTACAGGCTTGAGCCACCGCGCCTGGCCATTATTTTTTAAATGAGGCAAATCTCTCATGTACCATTTGTGGGCAAAACTCCAATGGTGTTTCCTCTGCCCTCACACCATCACAGTTACCAACACATAAGACTGGTGACCAAAGGTATTGGGTGGGCCAGGAGCAGTGGCTCACACCTGTAATCCTAGCTACTCAGGAGGCTGAAGCAGGTGGATCACCTGAGGTCAGGAGTTCGAGACCAGCCTGGCCAGCATGGTGAAACCCCGACTCTACTAAAAATACCAAAAAAATTAGCCAGGCATGGTGGTGGGCACCTGTAATCCCAGCTACTCAGGAGGCTGAGGCAGGAGAATTGCTTCAACCCAGAAGGTGGAGGTTGCAGTGAGCCAAGATTGCGCCATTGCACTCTAGCCTGTGTGACAAGAGTAAGACTCCATCTCAAAAAAAAAAAAGTGTGGGTGTCTCTCCCCACACACCAAGCAACAGACCAGCTGGGTGGCCTCCAATTCCATTCCAACTCTGTCTACCGGGAGACAGTGTCAGATCCCACAGGTTGAGGGCTCAGCCCCCAAGACTGCATCTCCCTTCCCTCAAACCGTAGTCAAAAGTCCAGGCCTCCAGAACTTCTGCCTGACCAGCTTCAAGTTGGGGTTCCCACGATCCCCTCTTTGGGTTTGATTAATTTGCTGGAGCAGCTCACAGAACTCAAAGAAACACTTATGTTTAGTGGCTTATAATAAAGGATACTACAAAGGATAAAGATGAAGAGATGTGTAGGGTGAGGCATGGGGGAGGGTGCGGAGTGTGCGCGCCCTCCCTAGGTGCCCCACCGTCAAGGAACCTGCACATGGTCAGCTACCCAGAGCTCCAAGAAGCCAGTCCTCTTGGGTTTTTAATGGAAGCTTCATGACAACAGCATTCCTACACCAGGGTATAGGGTGAGGAGGAAGGTCTTTCTGAAAGTGGGGGGGAACAGTAGAGCCCTGCCTTGGGGCAGGGGAAAGGAGGGCAGAATGTCAAGAGGTTGTTTCCTGTGGCCTGCTCCTGAGGCCTGACACACTCAACATTAGAACAAAAGACTGAAGAAGGGCTATGAGGATGATGAGCCAGGAGCCCTGGACGAAAACCAATGTATGTATAACACCACGGTACCGATGTAGAACTCGGTGATATGAACAAATTTTCAAAGTATAGAATAGTATGTTAACATGCTGTTGTCTGTATTTAAAAATATACCGATACCAATATATTTGATTACATAAGCATGGGGTACCTGGAGTGCCTCAAAAGGCAGCTGGTAACAAATCATTGCCTGAGTAGACGTGAAGGACTGGAGGACAGAGTAGGAGCGAGATTTACTTTTCATTTTATATCCTTCTTTATTATTTTTTGCCCCTTTAGCAATTTGTGTGAGCTTTGTGTATACACAGGGTTCCTTTTTTTTTTTTGGAGACAGAGTCTCGCTCTGTCTTCCAAGCTGAGTGCAATGGTGCAATCTTGGCTCATTGCGACCTCTGTCTCCCAGGTTCAAGCAATTCTCCTGCCTCAGGCTTCCAAAGAGCTGGGATTATAAGCGCGCGCCACGATGCGCAGCTAATTTTGTATTTTTAGTAGAGACAGCATTTTGCCATATTGGCCAGGCTGGTCTCGAACTCCTGACCTCAGGTGATCCAACCACCTTAGTTAGCCTCCCCAAAGTACTGGAATTACAGGCGTGAGCCACTGCACCCAACCCATAGGATTCTTAATTTTTGTAGGTTTTGTTTTGTTTTGTACAGATGGGGTTTCACTATATTGCCCAGGCTGGTCTCGAACTCCTGGGCTCAAGCAATCCGCCTGCCTCAGCCTCCCAAAGTGCTGGGATTACAGGCATGAGCCACCACACTTGGTGCCCTCTTGTCTGTATTTTTGATGCAGTTTCCCCTCCAGTCTTCATTTCCCTGATTGCTGACTTCTGACTTCTTAGAATCCTCTTGGATTCTAGTGGATCCCACAGCTAGTGAGCCCCACAGCTCTGAGTTCCTGATCAGACCTGCCTTCTGAGATGCACAGGCTGCAGGAGGGCAGGGCCTGGCCTTGGCTTCCCCTGACACTCTCACCACCACCCACCCATCTGCAGCCCTAGGTTAGGAATACTGAAAGGGCAGCCTGGGTAGGACTCCTAGTTGGCCACAGAATGAGGGGTAGCCCCCAGTGTTTGCTCAGCAGAATGGATCAGGAATCAGAACTAGCTTCCCTGTACCCCACATCTTGTGGCCTTTAGGCATACCACCCAGATAGGTGCCAAGGATTCCTCTTCTGGAAGGGAGGTAGAGGCTAAATTCTGGCAATGTCTAGATAGCATGTATTGTTAAAATGTATCAAAATGTAGCCAGGCATGGTGGCCCTGTAGTCCCAGCTACTCAGGAGGCTGAGGTGGGATGTCTTGAGCCTGGGAGGCAGAGGTTGCAGTGAGCCGAGATCACCCCACTGTACTCCAACCTGGGTGACAGAGCGAGACTCTGTCTCAGGAGAAAAAAAAAAAAAAAAAAAGCACCCCTGTATATACTTTTTTTTTTTTTGAGACAGAGTCTCACTCTGTCGCCTGGGCTGGAGTGCAGTGGCGCCATCTTGGCTCACTGCAACCTCCGTCTCCCGGGTTCAAGCGATTCTCCTGCCTCAGCCTCCTAAGTAACTGGGATTACAAGCGCCCGTCACCACATCCAGCTAATTTTTTGTATTTTCAGTAGAGACGGGGTTTCACTGTGTTGGCCAGATTGGTCTTGAACTCCTGACCTCGTGATTCACCTGCCTCAGCCTGTGCTGGGATTACAGGCGTGAGCCACCGCGCCCGGCCTGTATATACTTTTTCATGCACACATGATCACTAAATCTGTAGGATAAAACTTCTAGAATTCTTGAAGCAAAGGCTTTCTTTCCAAGAAAGTGCACCAATTTATAGTGAATGGCAATGCCTGTGTCCTTAACGGACTACCCAGCCTACACATCAATGTCATCATCTTGCAACACTCCCAGAGGGAGAAAGGGCAGGCATTATGATTACCACCGTTTTTAAGCAATTAATTAATTAATTACTTTTTTGAGACAGAGTCCCACTCTGTGACCCAGACTGGAGTGCAGCGGCACGATCTTGGCTCACTGCAACTTCCGCCTGCCTCCTAGGTTCAAGTGATTCTCATGTCTCACCCTCCTGAGTAGCTGGGATCACAGGCATGTGCCACGACGCCGGCTAATTTTTGTATTTTTAGTAGAGGACGGGGGTCTCACCATGTTGGCCAGGCTGATCTCGAACTCCTGACCTCCGCTGCTCCACCCCCTTCGGTCTCCCAAAGTGCTGGGATTACAGGCGTGAGCCGCCGCACCCGGCCCAATACCATCGTTTTCTAGAAATGAGTAAACTGAGGCTCAGAGAAGTAACTACTTAGTCTAACAGAGCCGGAATCAGATCCTGGGTTTCTAGATTCTGATTCCAAGAGCCTAACTCGGCAGTGGGGAAGGTGGCTCCTGGGCAGTCAACTGACTGCACAGTTCCGCCCAAGGCGGGACCTGGATCTAGACGTGCTCGGAGCTCGCGGGTGGGAGGATCAGGATGACTGCTGCTCCCGGAGCCAGCTTTCAACTCCCACCCCGCACAGGAGCCTCAGCAGCGCGAGGCGTCGCCCAGACCAGACCTGGAACCCTTGCAGCACGACCGCGGCGCGCTTCCCTCCGGATCCAGCTCCCACCGTCAGAGCGTCCTCCCTCCGCCGCGCCCCGCTCAGCCCAGGCTGGGGCGGGGCCTCGGAAGCGGTCGCCCTCGCCCCGGACAGGGCGGTCCCTCGTTAGGCCAAGTTTTCAAACGGCAAAATCAACCACGCGGAAGAGACTCTGCCTTCTCTTCACTCCGCATCCCAAACGCCTCAGAGAAACTGCCTTTCAGACCTTCGCGGCCTCTCCTGTGCCCGCAGCGCCCGGGAGCTGGGGACCCGGGTTAGCCACATCGACCGCAACGTTCGCGCGCCACCTTGTGTCCGTTCCTTTAGCTTCCAGGGACAACCCGGAAACCACATTTCCCAGCGTGCCTAGCGCCTCTGCGCAGGCGCAAATAGTTTCCCTCGTTGCCATGGGAACCTCGCCCCTTCTAGAGTCCCGGCCGCTTGACTCAGCGAGGCGCGGTGTGGTTTTTTCCTGAGGTACTCTGGGGCTGGGACCCGGTCTGCAGAAGGTCCAGGGGGCGGCGTAGGGGGATTGAGGAGAGGAGACCAAGCCGGCCTTGCCTCCGGGACCAGCGCTTCCCAATAATCTGGGGCGTCCCGGCGTGCACACGCTCCTGAGGCCTTGCCGTTCTGAGGAAAGGGGCTGGCGAGGCGACCAGGGTCCGCGATGCCGGGGTCCGGCTGTGGCCCGCGAAGGCCCTCTCGCCCGCGCCGGCGTCTTGTCACCGCGAGCCGAGGGCCTTTGCGCGGCCGACAGGTACTCCCGGGAGCTGGCAGCCCACGGGGAGGGTTCGCGGCTCAGGTGAACGCGGAGGTAGAATCAGACAGGGCGGTGAGTGCGCCCGGGGCTGGATCTGGCTCAGCCGCTGGTGGATTCGGAACCCGGGAGGCCCCCAGGCCCTGTGGGCTTCGGTTCCCCCGCTCTGTAAAATGAGGCTTGGACTGGAATTCTAGTGCCCATTGCGATTCCGTTGCAGAGCCGTCCCTGGCTCTGTGTGACCTACGAGTTCCTTCTTCTGTAAAATAAGGAGGCTGAAACGGATGATCCCTAACGTCTCTTCCGACGGTGCAGTATGTTACACACTGCTGGCTCCATTGCCCCTTATTGCACCCCAAGTGCAAGAAGAAAGAAAGGAACCTGGGATGATCTGAGCAAGACTCTCAGCTTGGGATCTAGAGTCAGAGAAACTTGGGTTTGTGACTTTGGACAAACTTATTACATCTCTTGAGACTCAGCTGCTTCATTTGCAAGATTGGGGATAATGTTAATACTACCTCCGGTTTTTGAGGATTAAATGAGATGACACATGTAAGTTTTTAGCCCAGGGACTGCATAGAGGAAGTGCTATCCCAGGTCCCAGCTATCGTTTCTGACAATTTCTACAACAGTCCCTAGCCACCATAAGACCTTTTCTTAATTTTTGAATTCACTTTATTTCTGGGCAAGTTCATTCTCCTAGGAAGGACGGTTTTTTGTTTTTGTTCGTTTGTTTGTTTTGAGACAGTGTCTCACTGTCACCCAGGCTGGAGTGCAGTGGTGTGATCTCTGCTCACCCCACCCTCCTCCTCCTGGGTTCAAGCGATTATCGTGCCTCAGCCTCCTGAGTAACTGGGACTACAGGCGTGTGCCATTACTCCCGGATAATTTTTGTATTTTTTGGTAGAGATGGGGTTTCTCCCCATGTTGGCCAGGCTGGTCTCAAACTCCTGGTCTCAAACTCCTGGCCTCAAGAGATCTGCCCACCTCGGCCTCCCAAAGTGTTGGGATTACAGGCGTGAGCCACCACACCTGGCTAGGCAGGATGGTTTTGTAGGCTGATTTTGATGGGGAAACCTGAGTCTTTTTACCCAAGGTTGGATGCTCAAGGCCAGTGTATTGCCTCCATTCAGCTGTAGGCTGAATTATAGCGTTACCACACAGCATTTAGGGAGGATGCAGGCTTAATGCCACATAGCAGGGTAGACACTTAAGGTTCATAGAGGATATGAGTACTTACATGTTATGATGCAAAAGCAGCTGAATATAGAATTATGTATTTACATAAGACTGGTTACTTTCATGGTTGTAAGGAATGCATAAGAATTCTATGCTGCTTGCATTGAGTTCAAGCTTTGTGTTAATTGAGAAAATTGTAACAAGGAGTTTTAAATTAATGAAAAAAGTATATATTTTAAAAATCTGGGAACATCCAATAATTTCACAAACAAGCCTTCATTCGTCCAACAAACATCTTGTCTCACTTTATCTTCCAGGCTGGAGGGCAGTGGTGTGATCTCGGCTCACTGCACCCTCTGCCTCCTGGGTTCAAGCGATTCTTCTGCCTCAGCTTCTCAAGTAGCTGAAATTACAGGCACACACCACCATGCCTGGCTAATTTTTGTATTTTTAGGAGAGGTGGGGTTTCACCATGTTGACCAGGCTGGTCTTGAACTCCTGACCTCAGGTGATCTGCCCACCTCAGCCTCCCAAAATGCTGGGATTGGCCGGGCACGGTGGCTCAAGCCTGTAATCCCAGCACTTTGGGAGGCTGAGACGGGCGGATCACGAGGTCAGGAGATCAAGGCCATCCTGGCTAACACGGTGAAACCTCTTGTCTCTACTAAAAAATACAAAAAAAAACTAGCCGGGTGTGGTGGTGGGCGCCTGTAGTCCCAGCTACTCGGGAGGCTGAGGCACGAGAATGGCGTGAACCCAGGAGGCGGAGCTTGCAATGAGCTGAGATCGCTCCACTGCACTCCAGCCTGGGCGACGGAGTGAGACTCCGTCTCAAAAAAAAAAAAAAAAAAAAAAAATGCTGGGATTACAGGTGTGAGCCACCGTGCTTGGCTTTCCATGAATATTTTTTGAGCACCTACTGTGTACATGGAACTGTGCAGGGTGCTCTGAGGGATATGAAGATGTAAAAGACACTTTCTCTGCTCTCAGGAAATACAGTCTAGTAGAGAAGATCAATTATGCATTAAAAACATAAAATTCAAGTAGAAAGTGATGTGTCATAGAGAGGCCCAGGTTACTGCTCTGAAGATTCAGAGGCAGGAGACATCGCTGCCGAGTCACACTGTATAATGAGAGAATAAAAAAGACAGCATTTGAAACTCCTAAAGCATGTAAACAATGTAGATATGCCAAGAAGTAGGCAAAAGATATTCCGGGCACCCATTCCATAACTTTGAGATACATGAAGGAGAGCTGTCTGTAGCCCTGATTAAATGGTGAGCTTCTGGGAGGCAGGGAGTAGATTTTGGTCAGTGTTTTCCTCCCCTGATTGGCACATGGCTGCCATGGTAAATATTAGCGAATGAGTAGGGGCTACGAGTTTCGTGTGGAGAGGAATGGAGCTGTGGTCTCGATATTACCCTGAAGCTCTTTGATTAGACTCACATGCTGTCTCAGAGCCATTCTTCTAGGGGAAAGAGGCGAATCGGCAGATGATTATGGGGCAAGGGCCATATTGTTGGCATCTTTAGTGCAGTACCAGCTGAGAGCCCAGGGAACAAGGTCTCATCAGTGGATAAGGGGTTTGTGAGCCTGTTTCCCTGGAACCAAGGTGAAGAACCATGAGGGAAGGAAACAGAAGCATAGGACCATGCAGCAGTCCTCAGACCAGTGACGGACACTCCCTTGACTCTTGTGTCCATTCTTGGGTTTTCTTTTTCTATGGCCCACTCCTTCCTAGGGAGATTTCTCTCCCATCTGTGACCCAGTTGGTAGTGGGAAACTGTGTCCACCATGCCAGCAGATTGCCAAGACCTGCCGCTGCCGCACAGGAAGGAAGCTGGCTTCAGCACACCATCTTCAGGCTGACTCCCAGGGCCCTGCCCTTTTCCAGTTCTGGCCAGGGCTGAACCTGCACTAGGAGCTAACCTTGAAGGAGACCCCTTCGAGACAGGTGTTTAATGGCCTGTGGAGGGGAGAACGACCTCAGGAGCTGGGATAGCAAAAGTAGAAAAGATTAAAAGGAGAATGGCCTGAGGACAGGGCAAATCCTCCCCCAAGTCCTGTTTAATTCATCCAAGGTCTAGATTCCCACTGGAATCTTCTGTTGCTCAGAAGGTGGAGTCATCCTCAGAAAAAGGAAGCTGGGGAGAGATTAAGCAGATGCAACCAGACAGGGGATAGAGCACAACTGACTGTCTTTTTTGTCCCTAGATATGGGATGTTGGAGGACATCTGGGGACCACAAATACTCCTTCTCCTGGAGATGCAACTCAAGGTGAGCCTTTATACCATCCTTCTGGCAACCTGTGCTCCCTCTCCAGAGAATGGTTCTTCCTTTTCATCCTTCTTTCCCACTTTACTCCCGCTCCACGGGCCACAGGTAAGGGCCTGCAGGGTGTATCAGGATTTCCTTATAGCTAAGTGCCATGTGAAGCCTGAGTAGCTCCAGGCCTGGTACTTGATAAGAGGTTATGACAGCCCAGAGCCTGCCATGGAGGCCTCTGTCTGCCTACTTCAAGGGCGTTATGGTCCTATGCAATTTACTAAGCACTGGCACTTACATGTGATCTCATTTAATCTCAACAGCTGTAAGGTCTTGTATTGTGACTTTCACTTTTCCACGTGAGGGATCTGATTTCTTAGGTTGTAGGTCAAAAAACTAAATGATACCACTGAGAGCAGTGATCTTTCCACCGCCTCCATAATCACTGACAGGGTGCCATCTGTCTGCTAGTGAGAACACGGTCCTAGGTTAACCTGAAACTAGACCAAGACTCTCCTTTTTTCCCATTTCAGCTAGAATTTCCTGCCCATTTTCCTCAGTGTCCTATCCCAGCACAGCTTCTCTGTGTCATTGGACACGTTTGATCTGAGTTTCTCGCTCTCATGCCCTCAGTACATGCTGACTTGTTCTCAGGGCAGCAGGTCCCATCAGAGAGCTTGTGCTCTTCCCCTTGACTCTGCCAGGTGCACCCTCTCCCAGGTAGGCACCCTGGGTAGCTGTGAGACTTTAGGGGATTCTGTATCTGGGTTAGAGAACCAGGAATAGGAAAACTGTTCCCCTGCTGGGTGGGGAAGGAAGTTAGCAAAAGTTTGCCTGATGGGATTGGCCTGGATAGTAATGCTACACCCTATGCGACCCCATCTCATTGGCACCCCTGGCAGAGCAGCTCAATGAGCCATAGAGGTAAAGGTGGAAGGTGAGTGTGGCAGGGAAGGTAAAGGCTCAGGCTAAAGGCTAAAGAGGGGTCCCACCTGCTGGCATAACTCAAGCCGGAGCCATGGAGGTGGAGGTGGGAGACACGTTTGGGTAAAGGAGGATGCCCCTGGGGAGAGGGAGCTGGTTATATGCATCCTACATAATTTATCTTCATATGGCCTGAGAAGGCTTGGAGCTGGCCTGCTTTGCCCAGAACAGCAGCAGCCTGTCTCCCCAGGCAGCGCACACTGCTGTGCAGCTCCTCTCTTGGTTTGGCGGACGGACTCCCATCCTCTGATGGCCCTCGAGAGACCTTTTTCACACCCTCCACCCTCCCTGGTGGCTCAGCTAGATGCCTCCTCCAGCTCTATCCGCCGTCTGAGATCTGATCATCCCAAATGTTCCTATGCCAGGCTGAACTCTGCCTTCTCAGAATGTCCTCACTCCTGCCAACCTGAAGCTCTTATTTTCAACACAGAAATGGGAAATTGGGAGGGAGGCTGAGTGCCATGGGGCCTAGAGTATGTGGTTTGGAGGCAACCAGTGGAATCATTCTGGGGTTAATGGGATGCCTGAGCTGATAAGCAGAGATCCCCCCGGCCCCTACTCCCGAATATCCCTGTGGTGGGTGGCGCTGTGTGGAGCAAGGCCTATATGCAGCACGATCCGCAGGTGGTCCCCACTTGCCCACCCCACCATCCTGCTGCAGCTTCACCCTCACCCTCCACCTCAGCCCTGTTCATTTCTCTCTTCCCTCTTTCCCTCCTCTCCTCCCTCTAGGTAGTGCAAGCAGCAGCTGTTGACCCCAGTGGCACATATGCTTGCCTGGCCTATCTGCACTTGAGCTTCCTACGGGTGCCCATCTTGGCCTGCATGCTGCAGGACTTGTGCTTCTGTGCAGATACCTCTGATTCTTCTCCTCTTCAAAAGGAAAAAGGACTCAGATAAGAGAGGAGGTTAGGGAAAGAAGACTTGAACTACTTTTTTTTTTTTTTTGAGACGCATTCTTGCTCTGTCATCCAGGCTGGAGTGCAGTGGCGTGATTTCAGCTCACTGCAACTTCTATCTCCCGGGTTCAAGTGATTCTCCTGTCTCAGCCTCCCAAGTAGCTAGGATTACAGGCGCATGCCACTGTGCCTGGCTAATTTTTGTACTTTTAGTAGAAATAGGGTTTCACCATGTTGGCCAGGCTAGTCTCAAACTCCTGACCTTGTGATCCGCCCGCCTCGGCCTCCCAAAGTGCTGGGATTACAGGCGTGAACCACTGCACCCGGCCCAGACTCTCTATTCTTTTGCTGAAGGCTTTTATCAATCTGATGCCAGCCTACGTTTCTGGCTTTCTCTCCCAGAACATCTTAGTATGTACTGTTCACTGTCATCACACTAGACTACCAACTGTTTCTCAAAAACACTTTTTCTGCCTCTTCACCTTTGCTCATGCTTATCTTTCTATCTGGGAGGGTTCCTTCCACCATTCATCTCTCCATTTAAAAATATTTTTTGAGCACTTTTTATTTTGAAAAATTTCAGTGCAGAGAAGTTGAAAGAATAGTACAGTGAACAGCTATGTAACCTACACCTGGATTCGCCAGTTGTTATTGCCATGTTTCTTTCTTTTCTCTCTCTTTTTATCCTGGACCAACTGAAAATAAGTTGCGGGCATTATGACACTTTACCCCTAAATATTTTGGTCTGTATCTCCTCATAATAAGGACATCATCCTGCATAACCACAATCTTTTCTTTTCCTTTTTTTGTTGAGACTGAGTCTCACTCTGTCACCAGGCTGGAGTGTAGTGGTACGACCTTGGCTCACTGCATCCTCCACCTTCTGGGTTCAAGCGATTCTCCTGCGTCAGCCTCCCAAGTAGCTGGGACTACAGGCGTGCAACCCCATGCCCAGCTAATGTTTGTATTTTTAGTGGAGATGGGGTTTCACCATGTTGGCCAGGATGGTCTCGATCTCTTGACCTTGTGATCTGCCTGCCCTGGCCTCCCAAAGTGCTGGGATTAAAGGCATGAGCCACTGCGCCTGGCCAGTCTTTTCTTAAAAAAAAAAAAAAAAAAAAAAAAAAATCTGGGACTGAGTGTGGTGGCTCATGCCTGTAATCCCAGCACTTTGGGAGGCCAAGGTGGGAGGACCGCTTAAGGCCAGGATTCAAGACTAGCCTGGACAACATAGTGAGATTCCCATCTCTACAAAAATATTTAAAAATCAGCCTGGGTGACAAAGTGAGACCCTGTCTCAAAAAAAAAAAAAAAAAAAAAGAAGATAATAATGTGATTATTAGGCCAGGCATGGTAGCTCATGCCTATAATCCCAGCAGTTTGGGAGGCCAAGGCAGGAAGAGCACTTGAGCCTAGGAGGCTGAGGCTACAGTGAGCAATGTTCTTGCCACTGCACTCCAGCCTTAGCGACAGAGTGAGACCCTATCTGTAAAAAAAAAAAAAAAAAAAGTTAAAAATTAACTGGGCATGCCAGGCGCGGTGGCTCACACCTGTAATCCCAGCACTTTGGGAGGCCGAGTTGGGTGGATCATGAAGTCAGGAGTTTGAGACCAGCCTGGCCAACATGGTGCACCCCCGTCTCTACTAAAAATACAAAAATTAGCCTGGCATGGTGGCAAGCACTTGTAATCCCAGCTACTTGGGAGGCTGAGGCAGGAGAATCGCTTGAACCTGGGAGGCAGAGGTTGCAGTGAGCCGAGATCGTGCCACTGCACTCCAGCCTGGGCGACAGAGAGAGATTCCATCTCAAAAAAAAAAAAAAAATTTTAACTGGGCATACTGGTGTGTGCCTATAGTCCCAACTACTCAGGGGACTGAGACAAGAGGATGGCTTGAGCCCAAAAGTTTGAGAGGCTGCAGTGAACCATGATTGCACTGCTGCACTCCAGCCTAGATGACAGAGTGAGACACTGTCTCTAAAACACAACAAAAAATAAAAATGTGGTAAAATATACATAAAATTTACTATTTGGCTATTTTAAAGTATATAGTTGTGGCATTACGTACATTCACAGTGTTGTGTAACCGTGACCAGTATCCATTTCCAGAACTTCTTTATCATCACCAACAGAAACTGTACCCATTGAATGATAGCTCCCCATTCCCCCTGGTAACTTCAGTTTTACTTTCTGTCTGTGAATTTGCCTCTTTTAATTACCTCATATAAGTTGAGACACACATTATTTGTCCTTTGATGTGTGGCTTACTTCACTTAGCATATTGTTTTTAAGGTTCAGCCATGTTGTAGCACATGTTCAGAATTTCAGTCTTTTTTTAAGGCTGAATAATATTCTCCTATATGGATAGACCACATTTTGTTTACTGATAGACATTTGGAATGTTTTAGCCTTTGGCTGTTGTGAATATGCCACCATGAACATTGGTTTACTAGTATTGGGATCACTGCTTTTAATTCTTTAGGGTACATACTAAGAGTGGAATTGCTGGATAATATGGCAATTTCGTTAACTTTCTGAGAAACTGCCACCTGTTTTACAAAGTGACCAAGAAATAAAAATGCAATATTATTATCTAGACTACAGATCATAATTACATTTCTCTAAATATCCCTATGTTTTCCATTACAGCTTTAAAAAAATATCTGATTCAGGATTGAATGAGGGATCACTGACTGTATTTGGTTGTCATGTCTCTTGATTCTTTCTTAATTTAGAATGGTCTTCCTGTCTTTTTGTTTTTCATGACATTGACATTTTTGAAGAATCCAAATTGTCTTGTAGGATATCCTTCAATTTGGGTCTCTTTGAATGTTTCTTTATAATTAGATTCACAGTAAGCCTTTTTGCAAGAATACTACATAATACTACAAGAATACTAAGGATATTGTATAACATGTTCTTCCTATTCGTTGCATTACTTTAGTCATGTAATGTTGCCTTATCCCATTATTGATGATACTGAGTTTATTTTACTTTTTATTTTTATTTTTTCTTTTGAGGCAGAGTTTCACTCTGTCACCCAGGCTGGAGTGCAGTGGCACGGTTTCCGCTCACTGCAACCTCTGCCTCCTGGGTTCAAGTGATTCTCCTGCTTCAGCCTCCCTAGTAG